AAGAAAGGAAGAAAGAAAGAAAGAACGCACACCATTCGACCATTCGGGGTAGTTTTTGTAGATGCTGTGCCTTCCTGAATAAATAGTCTCTTCGCTCTACCTGAAGCAAGTCACATGTACCACTTTCTGAGCAAAAAGAGTTTAATTGTACAAGCTAGAAGTCTCCTACAATCTCAGACTATTTTCTCAAAAGTTACCAAAAAACAAAACAAAACAAAAACAAAAACAAACAAACAAACAAAACCTCAGGTCACAAAACAAATGACAGAAAAAAAAAATAGATTTCATTCTATCAGGTCCAAATTTCCTTACTGGAATCACTAGCACTACACTGCATTTAAATCACATGGCATTTTCTGGATCCCACCATGAAAGACTATTCAAAGCACTTTCCCCAAACTAAGATCAGAACAGCTCACCAAATACTGAAGTCTCCCAAGCCCAAGCAGAGGTAGATGCCTTTCTAAGCAGTCCTGAAACAAAGACTGCTCAAAGGACGTACCAGGTCCCTTGAGTCTGGCCTATCTCACACCTATACATGTGTATTCCTCCCAGACTAACTGAGCCTGGATTTACAGACAGTATTGATAGGTTAAATTAGTTCCAAGATCTACTATCCTGTAATAATACAGCCTCTTTCCAGAGAAAGATTGGTTGCCTTTAAAACCCATAGAGAAGGAATGGCGAAATGGAAGTGACTCAGTGCTCAGCAAAGGAGGCAGGATTTGGCTCCTAACCTCTGAACTAACTGCTCCCCTGTGAAATACAAGGGTGTCTTCAGGACTGTTCTGCTGAACAGAGCAAACGAAGCATCAGTACAATGTTGCAGAACTGCTGCCACACCTGCCCTGAATGCCTTCAACCCTGTGTGCCAGACCAAGTTCAACTTGAGAGCAGAGGCCCAGGAGGTCACAGTGAGAGAGATGCCATGCACCCCATGCACCCACGGCCTGACTGTTTCCCTATACTGCTCTGGTTTCCTGAAGATGGTGATGGGAGTAGAAAAAGTGACTGGAGGTCATTGGGAGGTCCTGAAAAGTAGTAAGGTCTAGAGAGGTCCTTTCTGTTAGCTTTTGTGGTTGTTGTGTTTTTTAAATTCTGCACTGGATTGACCATTAAAGTCACCACAACATAGCCGAGGACTACTGTGAGGCAGGCAGGTACAAGTCACATCTCAATTCTGCACTGCTTTACAGTGGCAACAACTGAAGCATCAGGATGCTGCTGCTCTACTTTCAACTGTATTTAGCTGATGATCCTAAATAACACTCTGTCAGCTTTTGTAACCCAGCACAAAACCACACATCTTGTGAGCTACCAGCTGGGCTGTGGTAATGCCCTTGACTTGAAGCTTAAAAGCTTTGGTCAGGAGTACCTTTGATGTATTGTCTTTCCGTATCAGACTGCAAGGATGACCCCCAGATGTGTCATCACATAGAGTGCTACCAAAATTAGATTATGGCCAGCTAGTGAAACTGCCTCTCCCCTCTGGACCACTATGGAGGCTGCTGCTCTTGCCTTTGTCTGCAAGATCGAGAAGACACAGCTCTTAGGCTTACAGGATGCAGGGATAAGAACCATCTGCCTGGTCTGGTATTTCTTTAATTAAAACTTTAATTACAGATATATCTCTGCACAGATACATGCAGTCTTTCAGCTCCTGCTCTTAATTACCTGAGCTAATGGGAAATGAAGAGTTAGCATTCGCTGAGTGTCTACTACGTACAAGACATGTGCCAGAGGCCTGAGGGGAACCAGTGCCCAGCGGGGGAGACCCAGAGACAGACCTGGGCCATGAAGTCCACCTGTTCCTCGCCCTATCCTCTTGGCACTATCTCTGGAAAGATAAAGGATTAAGAAATAGAATCAGCACAGAAGCCAGGAAAAAGATCGAAGTGAAGGCTGAGCCACTTCCATGGGACCATGGCCATCATTTCATGGCAGAATGAGTAAATGGGGACTAGAACTACAGGGTGCTGCTTCCATGACATCCTGCCTAGCAGCAATTCTGATGCCATCTTCATCAACTTCCCTTTGGCTTGGACAGACCTTTGTGGAGAATGACAGAGCACTTCCCACACCCCCACTGTGTGTATCCTACTCTCCAGAGAAGCCACAAAGAGCAAAGGTCATCAGAAGGACCTCAAAGGCCACCAGGTGGCACCCAGGCCAAACTGCACAGATTTGGAGACTCAGAGTCGCCTGACTGCACACTGAGGCCTCTACGTCCTCAGAGTCACCCTAACCTTATACAGCACTCACTCTTGTGGAGGAGAAGCAGAAGACTACTCTAACAGCCCCACCAACACTGCTGGAGGAAGATAGTTAAGGGCAAGCGTCTGTACTACCATGTTTGCTGTTCCACCCTTACACAGGACATGTGACAGGCAGCAGATCTGAAGCCTTTCCCTCTCAGGAGCAGATTGCCCATGACCAAAATCAAGGGGTTCAACACAGTGACCACCCACCATACAGTTTAAAAGCTTACACAGCAGCCATGAAGAGGCCCAAGGCAAAAAACCTCTCCAAGACAACCCCAGCCTGTCCTAGTGCCTAACCTGCACTGCTTGGTGATTTAAACCCTGGCATTTCTTGGCCTACTGAAGCCCATGTGGCAAAATTACTTAAATCCTTGAAATGAACCAAATCAGGACAGGTAGTCACAAACAAAGCCTAACAATGTTCAGGCTAATGAAGGATGGCACCTACTCCAAAACAGATATCAAGACAAATTTTAAAAGCCCATCTGAACAGCTACTATGTGCGAGGCCCCTTGAAGATTTGTAAGCATATTACACTGTGATGACAGATACACTGTGAACATCAGGGTTGGGGGTGGTGTCAGAGCTATAGAGGAAGGGAAAAAAAGGAAAACTAAATGCACAAGAGACAGAGGAAAGAAGGTGACAGACTGAGAAATCAAGAAAGGCCCTGTGTACTTAGTTCTAACTGTCTGATACAACCCAGCAGCTGGAAGAATGATCTCAATGAGTACTGTCTAGCCCAAGCTGTCCTGTAGGCATGTCCCTCAGCGATTGTCTGGATTGCCTTAAATGATATGGAAAGACCCAGCCTCCAAGTGGGCAGCTCCATTCCCTGATTTTTTTTTTTTTTTTTTTTTTTGAGTATAGAAAGTTAGCTTAAGTACATATGTGTTTGTGGTTCTCTGCTCCAGTGAGGATATGATGTGATCAGCTGTCTCAAGCTCTGCTGTGACTTCCCCACAGTGATGAACTATAACTGGGAATTTTGAGCTAAAATAAACCCTTTCTCCCTCTAAGTTGCATTCTGTCAGTTTTCTGTTCTTCAATTACAGCAACAGAAATAGAACAAAATCCCTCTACTTCCTGAACCTCATAAGGGAAGCACAAGCCTGGCTTTTGTGACGGCTGATTCTCACTCAGGATGGCTGTGTAGAGCAGCGGCTGGGCTTGTAGGTACTGGTTAGTGGTGGATGTAGCAGTCAGCCCGGAGAGACCCCTTCAGTTTGCAGTGTAACCTGCTCTGGAAGTAACAGCTCTGACCCACACATACCCCAGAGAGACACATTTCTATGTGTACAAATGATTTACCTGCTTTTTTTCTTGTTTATAAAATAAACTTCCAGGATTTCTGAACCCTGTTGATCAATGGTTCTCAGCTAGTAAAAGAACAGAAACATGGAGTTGGCCAGTGATGCAAATTTTTAACCAACTATGCAAGGGGCTCCCTATCCAGAGCCAGGACTAAAGAAGCCACTGTTATCAGTCACTTCTTACTAAGCTGTGTACTGTTACATCTCTGTCTGATGACTGAGGGAAGAGAATGCATGCAGCTGATTCCTGAAGTCAAATGGCAGAACTGTCTTGCATAAGGCAGTGTCAGTGAAACCTAGTCTCAAGTGCAAGACCTACAGCATAATGAAGGGTGAGCCTGGAGAGTCTATTAAACCTACCTGAGCATCAGTGTGCTCATGCAGGTTTCCCCACCTCCTGGGTAAATATGGATAATTAAAATGTGTAAAAAGCACTGGGAAGAACACCTGATACATATCCTCATACACATGGTGACAGTGAGGTCATTTCCCCTTTACTGAAGAGGACACTGAAGCCTCCTGCAGCTGAGGGAAACACTAGGCAGCTCAACACCTTGACTCCCTGAAAGCTAGCTGCAGGGTTTTACCAGAGTAGCATGAAGGGTGAATCCAGCTAAAGAGGCAAGCGGTGATGTTCTTTCTTCAGTCTCTTTCCTTTTGCCTCCAAAGTCAAAACTAGGTAAACAAATAAACCTTTAAAAAATGCACCAAAAAAAAAAAAAAAAAAAAACCCAGCAGCAGGTGAGGCAGCTCCTGGTGGCTGGACTTTCTCACTGTAAGACTAGGAGGCCGCGTAGCTCTGCCCGGAGTTTGCATTTGCTGCAGATGTCTTACTTACCACATGCTCTGTAGATCCTCTCTAGGCATCCAAGGGTCTCTAAGTCAGTGCTAAAAGATTGAGGCAGGAAGGGCTAGAGTTCACTTTGCTTGAGGTGCATGCACTACTCATGGTATGCAGCTCTGGCCACACTGCACTTAGTGCTGCTCTACAGACCTCACACACAGCGACTTGCTAGGACTCACCATGATCCTGTGAGTGGGTGCTATTACTGACACCCCACTTAAAGAGGAAGCAAACTCGGGAATAGGGCAGCTAGGTAATGTGCTGCAGTCAGTACACTTGCAAGAGACCAAGGTGGGATTCGAACCTCAGCAGCCTGGCTCCACAGCCATGGTCCTGGCCCTTCACCACGGGGTTCACTACCACTGCCTCTTGGCACAGCCATAGGATGAGGTTCAGTTTCAAAAGCACCTTTCTTCTGAGTTCTCAGTGTGTTTCATTTATCCTCCCAACAACCCTAAAAAAGCAAGTAGGAGACATACAGCATCTGTATTTCACACACATTACAATGGAAGCAGCAAGAACACGGCTAACAAACTCCTACCTGGACAACCAAACACCTGTCTTCTGAAGCCTCTGTTTGAGTTCTTTAGTTTGGGCTAACATCCTTAACAGGTGCTGACAGCACGTCCAGACCTGAGTAGTCCAGAACAGACTTTCTCACACTCGGGTAAGATCCCCTCAGTGAATCACAATTACAAAAGCAGTATCTGTGGGGCTTACAGCTTAGTACAAGTCCTAAATTCTAACGAAAAACTATTTTGTTCATCAAAAATAAGTAGTCAATGTATTCAGCTACTAGCTCTCTGAAGAAAAAAAAAAGGTTATCTTAAAAATGTACTAAGCAGACAGCTTTAAGGAAAAATCTAATGAAAACATTTCACTTCTGCATCTACTAATGTGTCCTAGGCTCCTACTAAATTTATGAATAAAATACTGGACCCTAGAGAGCCAACTCTGTCAACAGGGAGCTTGGGTCTCCCTCAGGTGCCATCAGGCAGCTGAGAGGAAAGGAGGTGACAGTCACCATCTCCTGCCATCTGAGAGTCCGTGAACTCTTACGCCAAGTGCCATTCCTCTACATGGCACCCAAAAAACAAAGGACACAACTAGAATGGAGGAGAAAATACTCTTGCACAACTGTGCAATGCATATGATAATTACTTTTTAAATCACCTGAACAGTCAAGGTTCAGCCTCCAACTCCCAGGACAGGTACAGTCACAGGGGCTTCATAATCACAGGAGTCTTTATCTATTTCTATTTCTCAACTCTGGTGCTCTGCAATTCCATGACAAGATACCCAGTAGGCCAGAGGCAGCTTTGCAATCATGTGGGTGTACTAGGCAAAAACAAGCTTGGAAGCTCCCGGGAGTGCAGGAGTTCTGGTCACCAATGAGCAGCTCCTTGTACTCTGATTCTAATGAATGATATAAACTTTCACAGATATCAACAAAGACTGGAAAGAACTTACATCTATGTCAGTGTTCACCTAGAAGTTTTGGCTGTATGCAGTTGAAATATCACCATTAAACATTAGAGAATAAAATAACGAGACACTAAAAATAATCTGTGCTTCACTGGGTCATGCTAAGAAATTACATGTGATGGGGGGGATATTTTATTAGTTCAAAGGATTAAATATGGTTCTGGATTTTGTTCTGCTTTAAGATAAATTTTAAAAAATATATACTAATTTGAAAGAAAAAAAAAAAACTGTAAGAGCCAACAGCATAAATTAACCTGGTACAGAGTCCACCAAAGCTGACCAGATTTCAGCAAAAACAAAAACATTGTGGATAATGTAAACCGTTGCTTTCTCTTATGTTTAAAAGAAGTAGATTATAAAGGATGGGAAAAAATGAAATTTGATGAGATAACCGTATTCTTCAGGCCTTTTAATGAAATAAAACATTTAACCTTTTTCTCTCAGTAAAACTTAAGAACACAAAATATAATCTGAGGATGCAAAATATGGCATTTAAGAAACTAACAGATTTAAATTGCTGCTATTTTTTGAGGGGGAAGGCAGCAACAAAGCTATGTAGTAGATGTGAAGAAGGGTGTGGGTAAAGATAGATGTGAGCATGAGTGTGTATGGAAGAGGGGTGGAATGGGAAGGGAGACTTCAGGCAGCCTGGGTCTGTATGTGTGAGTTACATGTAAACATCAGTCAATTCATAGTTTTTGCAAAATATGGACATAAAAGGAAATACCCTACATGGGGAAATGCACTCATTAAACTTAAATTTTAAAAGGATGAAAACACAGATTACACTTTATTCTTAAAAACCAAAATGAATTTCAATACAGAAAATGAAGACAGCATTTTGCAACTTTATCACTCAAAGGAGAATCTCTACTTGAGGAAATCAGTGTGCTGCACTTGGAGAGATGAAATGTTACAGCTTGTACACCAAAATTAAAAAATGAAATTAAATTAAAAAATGAAATGGTTACCAAGGTAATGCAGGTCAGGGGATCAAAGGTGAAGGGTCACACATTATTAAAAAGAAATCCAAAAGGGCGGCTGCATCATGATCTCTGCAAAACAAAGGAGCTCCAGTAAGTACAACTAGCATCTCCCAGAATCAACAATCAAGCTCTTGACGCTCTCCCTGCAACTGAACAGTCTTCCCTGATTCCATGGAGAGCCATTTTTATTCAGGTACAAAATCAAATTTTAATCATCGTTACCAACCAAAAAAATTACAAATATTTAACCAATCATATTAAAACCTCCAATATTTCCAATTGAATGTGGCTGGGAAGTGCTGGCATTTCGTTTCAGTTGGAATCCACACCCTGTTTTCTGGAAATGACAGTGTTTGATAAGTTGCCAACATATCAAGAATCTAATTTGGTCACAGCATGGTGAGTTGGTTTTTTTTTTTCCTCCCTTCTCCTTAAGGAATGAGTTCCAAAATTGAGTTTTTGCAAATTTCTTTCATTTGAAGTAGCTGCATAAAATTTCCATTATTGGAACATTTAGTATAACAATGTTCTAGAAGACAGCAATAAAGTGATACATGATAAAATAAACTGTGTAACTATACCTATTAAGTCTGTTCTCACATTCAACTTTCACTGCACAAGGGAAAGGACATTTTAAGCAGAGTAACAACTTGCTATCTCTACTGGAATCACACAGTTAACAGGAGCCTGACATGAGGAAGAACGAGGGAGGAAAGAGGTATCTGACAGGCTTCATTTCCAACCAATGTTACACTTTCTCACTTTCATTAACGAACTAATTTGTGTTCCTACAAAGAACAGGAGGGCCAAGGCTTTGGTTGAAATGTAACTACCACCCAGGTGGTGGCACTCACCGACAGTAACAACAACAAGCAAACAGTGACTGTAAATGCTTATTCCCTGGTCAACAACCAGCACAGAAGGACAATTGTCCTTACTGTCTTTAGTCTGAAAACTAATCCTGAGCAGGTTGTTTCCTGATTCAGGATTCCAGGCTCCTTATGCTGAACAGGCAGCGTCTAAGAAGCCCTGTGCACAGTGGCCTGCTGCCTCACCTGAGGCAAGAGAAGCTGGAGGAGGGAACTGGGTTTGATTACCATCTTAGACCTCTTCCATCCTACCACCTTAGTTTCATGCTGCCATATCAAACACTTGAGTTAACCTTGTTAAAAATCACATCCCCATATACTTATATATTAAGATATAGACAACTGTCCAGAAGGATTTATTAAAACGAATAAGATATTCCTTCTAGTGGTTTATGGCAATCCATAAATAAAATAATTCTATGAATGCCAGCTTTTGCTCCCTCTGATTAGGTTTTGTTAAAATAACTGCAGATCATCATGCACTGGATTGAGTGTGTTAGTGCTTAAGGCCACATCTCTAAAGTCATGGCTTTCCATTCAGTTGCACAGCTATGAAAAGTAAACTAACATTTCGTTTTTGGAACCCTCATCTCACACAGTCTGGCACATACATATTTGCTGCTGGGAGGCATGCAGGCAATGTTGAACACTGCAGAAGGAATCAATACCCCATCAAAACAATGCGTACGGTGCTTTAGTAGCATCATTACTGAGACCATTTCAGCGTGTTTATAACGAAAGACAAGACGCCAGCAGTGTAACATTAACTTGAGTTTTGTTTTCCTAGAGTATTTTATTTTAAAAAGAAGCACCAGACCTGTCCAGATCAAGAAATACACACACACACACACACACACACACACACACACACACACACACACACACACCATGCCCACTACCAAACATATATTCATAATCTCTTCTTAATGACAAGATGATTTCTAGATGCTTTTAAAAAGTCTTCTAAATCATTCTTAAAATTCCATAGCTTACAGAAACAGTTCCTCAAATTTCTGCCAATTCATCAGTCCTGCCAGAAGTGTTAGGCATAAACTACCTAATGCAACCTCCAAGTTCTCAGCTGCTCCCTAGCACGTCCTGCTCTTCCATGGAAGTGGATTCATACTCCCTGCCTAAACACATGGCAGTTCTGACAGACAGTCTTTGAATGTAACTGTACCCATGGTAATGACAATCCAGCTGATTTTTAAAATAACAATCTATTAAGAATTTTAGCAGCCGGGCGTTGGTGGCGCACGCCTTTAATCCCAGCACTCGGGAGGCAGAGCCAGGCGGATCTCTGTGAGTTCGAGGCCAGCCTGGGCTACCAAGTGAGCTCCAGGAAAGGCACAAAGCTACACAGAGAAACCCTGTCTCGAAAAACTAAAAAGAATTTTAGCCAGTGTTTTCTGCTTTGGGGACAAGGTAAGGCTGAAGGGGGTTTACTATGGTCCTACCAAGTACCTAGAACAGCACTCAGGAAGAGAAAGTGCGCATTTTACCATTGCCAGCAAAGACTGCAGCACCCAAGCCCACTATGTGGAGAGCAGCTCCGAGACCGCTCCATCTGCTGAGGCCAGCATGGGATGCCCTCAAGCAGTGCTCCAGATAGCAGGTCTGGTGGGCACCTACCTGATCTGAAACCATCATTCTGGACCACAGGCTCTAGGAGGTCCAGGGCCTGGATAGCTACAATCTTCATCCAAGGGGCTAAGTCTAGTCCTAACTGGAGTCAGTTTATTTTCCCTATGGAATTTTCTGCCTTCTAGACCATTTCCAGGTCTCAAGCAGCAGTAGGCCTCATGAACCAAAATTACCCATCTTCCTTTTCTTCTCCAGAAGTCTCCCTTGCCTTCACTATAGCCATAGTCAGCTAGTGGTGAAGTCCTCACTGAAGTAACACAGACACTCAGGAGTTGCCACAGACTGAAATAAGCTCCCAGCTAAGGAGCCACAGGGAATTTTCTATCAGGAAA